CAAGCCGCCACATCAGCTCCTCCTTCCAGATCTGCCCTCCCCTCGCTGCCGCCGGCAAGCACCGCCGGGCAAAGCCCGCGCGGCGTCGGCTGCGGGGGCCTTCCAATTTTTCCTTTAGCGAGGTCAAGGCAGTGCAGGGCCACCTGGCTGAGGAGAGGCGTGGGGGCGCGACGGCCGCGGCGTGCAGGCGCCGTTGGCGCGGTGCGCACGCGTCGGCGGGTGCGCCACGCGCGGCGAGCGGCTGCTGGCGGGTGCGAGGAGCGCGGCGAGCGGGTGCTGGGGCTGGCAAGTGCGAGGTGCGCGGCGAGCAGGCCTGGGCGAACGCGACGAGCGGGAGCGGGTGCCGCTTTAGCGCGCCTGGGCGCTGCACACTTGTGAGCGCTGGCGCGATGCGGGTGGCCGGGGGCTTGCGGATCTGGCGTGCTCACGCGTCCAGCGGAGGTGCGGGCCTCGCCGTGGCCGTTTTAGATCTGGCGCGCTCAGGGACGGATCTTGTTGGGGATACTACTACTGGATGTAAACCGGCCAGGGATAGCCGGTTTAACTTTATGAAGATTAGAAGCCCATGAAGACGTAAGAATAATGACGCTTTATGAAGGCCCAAGGCCCAGAGGCGAATTAATGCTTATAGATGTAAACCGACCTTATTATGTAACTTGCATTGTAATACAGGAAGTATAGAGACCGGACCGGACACGTTTAAAATCCGGCTTTGGGACTCTGTAAACCTGCGGGCGTCAACCTATATATATATAAAGGACGACCCGGCAGCGGTTCAGGGACAGACAACAACTCGAGGGCCAGTCAAAGCGGATTCGCTCCCTGGTCATCGAAACCCTAGCAATACCAATCACAACTAGACGTAGGCTTTTACCTTCATCGAAGGGGCCGAACTAGTATAAACTCCCCGTGTTCCTTTGTCCGGTTTAACCCCTTTAAGCTAACCCGTTGCGATGGCTCCACGACTAACTCCTTTCACGAGGACATCTGCCATGACAAACCCACGACAGTTGGCGCCCACCGTGGGGCTATCGCACGATGGTTTCGAGTTCTTAAAGGGCAGTTTTAATGGACTCAAGGGATATGCTGTGGGCCGGATGACGAAGAGTCATCGCGGCAAGCTCTACATCGACAACGCAGGATGGGGCCCCGAAGCTGATTCAATCGAATACGGGTACCGGGTCCCCTTTGGTGTGATTCACGTCTTCATCGGTAAGATTGGCGAACCGGGCCCTGAGCCGGACACCTGCACCGACATTATCGAGACGGCTCAGCGTGCAAGCCCTTCCCCGGTTCAGCCCATGGCAAAGCATGTTTTCGTAGGTGTCATCCACGGAGCAGAATATGAGGACGGACCGGCATCTGATGGCGAAACCGTCGTCTGCTCCAACGATGAGTCTTCTAGAGAGACCGAATCGCTTTATCAGCTGCAGAACGGCCGGATTAGTGGAGGTTCCGAGGGCAACAGTATTCCGGACTCCCCAGATCTACCAAACCGGGCAGCTATCTTCATGGCCGGTACACAATCAGCGCCCCACTCATCGACCCCCGTAGCAATGCTCTTCGGTTCGGTAACAGCCACGCCAGCAGGGGCAGGGGGCTCTGCGGCACCTCCGGCTCAAGTTCTATCTGACTTATTCGACGCTTTGGCAACATTGATGGCCGCAGAGGTGGATGCAGCAGCCCGGGATCAGCACAACGCGGAGATCGCAAAGGTAAAGGATCAGCTAACTTAGGCTAAAGCGGACCTAGCAGCAGAGAACACTAGGATAGCTACAAAACGGGCCGAGTTGGAAGCTCAGGCCTACCGGCTTAGGCTGGATCAGAATGCTTCAGAGGAAGTCATGAGAATAAGATACCGATCGCATCTCCCGCCGAGTTATGAGCCAAGGAATCTCTTCAATACGCCAGGAGCAGGAACGAGTAACCAGCCAATAGTAAACCGGAGGGAGGCGCCAGGGACAGGAGCGCCGGTTCAGCCGCGCACGACGGACCCGCCTCGTCAGAACAACATTGTGCCAAAGTATGTTCCAACGCCTCCCGGGCATTACTCCAACCCGTTGGACAACATTGTGGCCGCCGCTTCATGATTGGCAGCCCTCCCAACCGACGGCGAATCACCAGTTGCGATTGAGGCACGACGGGCCAGAGATCTCCTTCAAACAGCTCTAAACCAGCAGCAGGCATATTCGCACAGTCGTGAGAGGATTCATTCCACTCCCCGTCCAAGCCGGAGTTACAGCAGGCACGTTGAGGATGAACCGGCCGTGTCAAGCAGTGCACGTCGCCGTAATTCGTCGCGAGGGCACAACCCGGCAGGAGGAGGTGCTAATGCGTAGGATGTGGTGGATTATGGTCGCGCACGTCGAGAGGCCGAGTTAGCAACTCTGCACGGAGCCCGTCAACATACTACAGTTCACCCTACCGCTTCAGTAGAGCCAGGTGTGGTATTCAGTTCCATAGGGGTGTCGTGTCTCACCCCCGCTTTGCGTAATGTGAGACTGCCCAAGGACTTCAAAGGACCTCGTAAGATACCCAATTACACCGCCGATCTACAACCATAGGCATGGGTTGAAAGCTACGAGATGGCAATAGAGATGTTAGATGTGGATGAAGCAGTATGTGCTAAATACTTCACCATGATGTTGGAAGGAACAACTCTTACTTGGTTGAAGAGCTTACCAGCTAATTCTGTTGGATCATGGGCCGAATTGAAGCACCGGTTTATCCAGAACTTCAAAGATACTTGTAAGAAGCCCATGTCAATTGTGGGTCTGGCCGCTTGTGTCCAAGAGGATGGGGAGTCCACGACCCATTGGGTAAAGCGGGTCTCAGCTATTTTGCATTCATCGGATCGTATCAATGCAGATATGGCAGTGCTAACGTTGGAGGGCAATTGTCGTTTTCTGCCGCTCAAACAGAAGTTAGGAAGGCTCAAACGCCACTGCAATGATATGTCAACGCTTACGCTCGCTTTGATTAAGTACGCCGATTCAGATAATACCAAAGACTCTGACTCAGAGGAGGACAAACCAGGGAAAGGGAAAAAAGAACGGCAACACCAAGGGTCAGCAGCATAATCCGGCAGGCCATGGGAACAATGGTAAACGCAAGGCCGACAACAGTCTGGACTTTGTGGCTAACACCAATGCTCAGGAGAATGGTCAGCGTCGTAAGGGTAAGCAGCCCTAGAGGGGTGGAGGTTGAGGCCCCAGTTTGGAGCGCTTATTAAAGCAACCCTGTCCAAAGCATGGATCAAAGGAGAAGCCAGCATCACATCTTTGAAAGGATTGTTACATCATGCGGGATTTCAAGAACTCCAATATGTTTCAGTACGATAATGGCCCGCCCGGAGGTTCAGGAGGTGGTTTCCACGGGACGGGTTACGGAGGTGGCAGCTCCGGTTCAGGATTTCAGGGCAATCAAACCGGACACAGTAATCAAGGGAACCATGGCAACCAAGGAGGTTACAACCATTAGGGGAACCAACAACAGCAGCAGTCGGGTTACCAGAGAAATCCTAAGCAGCTAAATAGTGGGCAATATCATGTCTTTACCACTAGCTTGTGTAAGCGTGATCAGAAGCTTCACAAGAGGGCAGTAAACTCTGTTGAACCGGCGGTGCCTCGGTATTTGCGCTGGTCTGAGCAACCCATTTTGTGGAGTAGAGAGGATCACCCACCCCGGTTTGACAATCCGGATCACTTGGCCCTAGTGGTGGCCCCTCAAGTTGGGGGATATAAGTTCATTAAGGTACTCATGGATGGGGGAAATAGTATCAACATTCCATATTATGATACCTTCCATCGTATGGGGTTGACAGATAAGAGTCTTAACCGTCAAACACTGTTTTCCACGGTGTGGTGCCTGGCAAGTCTGCATATCCAGTGGGCAAGATAGCCTTAGAGGTGGCTTTTGGAGATGACTATGATTCAAGGTCAGAAACATTAACTTTTGAGGTGGTGAAAATCAAAAGTCCATATCACGCTTTGTTTGGGCGACCGGCTTATGCTAAGTTCATGGCGAGGCCGTGTTATGTTTATCTACAGCTTAAAATGCCAGGTCATAAGGGGACCATCACAGTACACGGGAGCAGGAAGATCGCTTTGGAATGTGAGGAAGGTGATGCGGCTTATGCTGAGTCGGTTTGTGCCACGGAGGAGCTGAAGTTTTATAAAGACCAAGTTGATCCGGCGGATATGACCTCTTTGAAAAAGCCAACTACGGAACACGATCCGGCGTTGAAGTTTAAATCGGCCACATATACTAAGATG